GGGAAAGGAGGGGGGGTGAGAGAGGCAGACAGACCGACTGCACGTTCGCAGACCCGTCTGTACGCAGCTCGGCTCTGCTCCGCCTGTATGTACTTTCTGGGCAGCACCGACCAATGTGCCGACGGCGGTGCAAATGGTCGTTTGAAAAGCCACTGTGGCGCTCCGTTGGCGCTCCGTTTGCACACCTATGAATTGTTTGCAATGCCGTTCCGATTTCGAATCCTAGGAAATATCTAGGGCCCCGCTCTAGAATCAATCCGCCCTAGAACATTATTATTATTATTATTATTATTATTATTATTATTATTATTATTATTATTATTATTATTATTTTATAAGGCTAATTCTTTAAGCCCAACCAATTCAATTACCTGTCAAATATGCACCATAGGAAGATGAGTTGAAACTCCCACGAAACAGTTTGTCACAGCCCCTCGTTTGTTGTCCTCTTCTCTCTCCCTGCCTAACCCGGCAGTTCTGTTTGTGACGATATATATATATACAGGGTAACCTCGGGATAGGCCGAAAGCCCGAACCGGAACGCCCGAACGTATGGGATCCCTTGGGGATGCGTTAGCGGACCCAAAAAAAAAAAAAAAAACCACAGTCATCATAAAAATCTGAAAAAAAGATATGTTATGGAGAAAAATAAATTAAACAAGATTTGCCTGAGCATTACATCCGAATTCCTTACCAAATTTGAAATAAAAATAAAATACAGAAAACAAATACTAATAATAAAAATAAATAAAAATAAAAAGAGAATTAAATTTAGTGAGTGCGCGAGCATATTTTTGACACCGCCATCTTTGGCGATTTTTCCTTTTTTTTAAGCATAGCTAAATGCCTTGAAAATTGATAGGTGTGTACTTCACATAATACAAAACCCACTAAAAAAGTTTCAAAATTTAATAAAATTGTTTAGACCCCGAACTAAAGTGAAAATAAAAACTAAAAAAAAAAAAAAAAAAGTGGGCGAGCACGTTTTGACACCGCCATCTTTGGCGATTTTTCATTCTTATTGGGTTTAGCCAATTCACTGGAAAAATTTACAGGCATGTACCTCACGTCATAGAGAACTCACAAAAAACAATTCAGAAAAAAATAATTATTTTTACGCCCCGAAATAATTTTTGGCGGGGGCCGAACGCCGTCGGGTTCGGACCCCGTACAGGACCCCGAACGCTCGTACGCACGAAGGTCTGCCCGGGGACCTCCGTACGTACGGGCTGGTGGCCCTATATCTGTTTGTGATATATATATATATATGTATATACATATATATATGTATATATATATATATATGTATATATATATATATGTATATATATATATATATGTATATATATATATATATATAAATAGAACTGCCCGGTAAACCGTAGGCAGAGAGAGAGAAGAGGACAACAAACGAGGGGCTGTGACAAACTGTTTCGTCGGAGTTTCACCGACTCATCAGGAGGCTNGGTTTTGATATTGTTTAAGGTATTGTGCACATAAGGACTGTGGTGGCGGTCACCGCAAGGACACAGGTTGTAACCCTTTTCCCGTGTAGTGGGTAGAGTTACGGCCCACCTAAGGTTAGCCAAACCCGGGTGGCAGCCCCCATGCCCATCTCACCTCTTCGTATCGCACTCTTTCGTGTAATCCTCACACATTAATAAAGCCTACAGGTTGGCTTGCTTTTGCTGAACTGACACTGTTGGTCTGTCGGTGCAAGGCTGTGAGCACTAGGATCACATTGGATCACACAGGGTCATGACACACTCACCGGGGGATGCAGAGTCATACATGAACCAACATTCTGTTGGCTCACTGCTAATGGTGAATACCATACGAACAGGACGGCGGCAGGATCAGTTCCTGAACGGGCCGCCGGGCCTAAAACCCTGCCTTTCTGTGCACCTCTTCGTCTCTTCTCTGACCAAAAAATGAAAAAGTTCAAAAAAATAAACGTTACTTTTAAACAAATGAATTCAACACAAAGGATTAATCAGGGGTTCTCGGGAAGTTTCCTACTACTGGCATGGTAGGCGTAGTTCCAGGCAGCATAGGTCAGGGAATCCTTGGTAGATTTCCTGTTGACACTGCATTAGACACGGTGGATCAGGGAATTCTTGGAAGATTTCCTGTCGATACTACTTTAGGTAAAGTTTCTCATAATAATCATCGACTCTTCTCTGCTTTTTCCTCCCAACCTCATCTACACGCTGATTTCACACGTCGTGTTGATTGGATTCGACACCTTCGTTGGAATACTGACCTCTACTCTGCAGGCACTTGGCGCAAGAGGCAGTTGCAACAACTTAACATGGCGATTCAAACAGAGCGTTTCGAATTGCAGCTGAGAGGCATTGATCAGCAGGCACTGCAATCAGGTATGGACCCTCTCTTTGTCCGGGGAGTGATCTATGCCATCGTTCATATCCCCTCTGGGCGTCTTTACATAGGTCAGACTATTCACTCCTCGCATCAACGTTTGCAGGAACATTGGCATGTTCGTCGTTCTACTGTGGAGTTTCGGCGTCGTCGGCTCTACAATGTCATGTCTTGTCAAAACCCCTTCAATTTTGCAGTCTGGCCCTTAGAACGTATTGACCCGACCCTTTACAATACACCGCAAGGTCTTGTTGACCGTAACCTTTTTCGACGGGCTGCTACGACACGGGAAGCCTATTGGGTACGCCGGTTGCGGACTCTTCATCCAACTGGTTTCAACGCTGTCCTACCGCTTGCTCGCCTGCCTGCAAGAAGACGACAACGTCGTCCTCATCGGTTGACACATACAGGCCCTCGTCCGTCAGACCATCAACAGCCCCAGCCTATTGATTTACGTCCAGGCCCCGACTTTCAAGTCTGGTCTGCATTGCACAGTCTTCTCTCACAGGCTGCTGCTGGCAACTCGCAACAGATGGAATCTGTCATCCAGCAAGCAACGTCAGTTTGGCGTGCCCGCTTGCTGCAGTGGTTGAGCAATAATATCTCCAATGCAGATATGACTGCGCATATCCGTCAGCTTGAATGCCTGATTCGGAAGTATCAACATGTCCGCCAGCGATACGCAACTCAGTCTCGAGATGCCTTCCTTGATCATATTAAAGTTGTGCACATGGACGAGGTGTCTCAGGCAACGGCGCTGCGACAAACCCTGCATGCACCCCAGGTGCTCCACTTGCACCCTGACCCTGATGCCGCAGCACACCTGCGTATCTGTGATAAGTTGTTGCCGCCAACTCGCGTCCAATTCTCTAATTTCACAGAAGTTGCGCTCAGCGTCACACCTGGGATCTCCCTGCCTGACCCCTCAGACTGTCAATGCCGAAAAGTGTTTCCTGACTACTCACACTTAGTCGACGGCCATGTTGTTACAACCGACTGCGATATCATTCCTGATGATCGCCTCCGCGACTTGTTTCATGAAGGCTCGAAGTATCGTCTTAATGGACAAATCGCTGATGTGCTTCAAGCTGTTAGAGTCAGCCTTGACGAGTATATTGCTAAATACCTGAGGTTGGTCTCCGAGCAGCTTCGGCCGGCTGCTCTGAGCAAATTGCAGCAGTGGCGCTCAACTGTTCTCACACGTTGCCAAAGCAACATCTCATCCCCCCATATTACTACACGACAACCGCACTCTCTTCACTCAGTGCACAGGGCTTTGAGACACCTTCAACAACACTTTGCTATTGTTCCTGTCGACAAGACTGACCATAACTTACCAATCTGTTGTAAAAATTGGTACCTGTCTCATCTATCTGCTCATTTGGACAGCCCTACCTATGATGTGTCTCTTGAGTCTGTCGCAGATATTCTGGAACATCGCGCGCTCTGGAATCATCGGTGGGGATATACACACAAAAACAGCTGCCATATCTGTACTATGCACTTAAAGCACACAAATCGCCCCCCGGGCTTCGCAGTATTGTCGGCGTCACAGAGCGGAATCATCTCTCCTTGCTGCAACGATCTCGATCAATTGCGCCATCTGTTCATGCAGTCTACCATCGACCTCCCTACAAACCCTTGGTCAGTACTACCGTCACTTCTGCCCGCCTCAGCGTTGCACTACAAGGAGTCATTGAAACTCTCCGTGAGAAGGATATTGTGTTGTATCAGCAAAGCGGTGTCAGACGGTGCTGAATCGTGCAAAGCGCCGAGGAGGTGATGCTTGATCTCAAACGTAACTCCTCTTCTCTTCGTGACCATGATCCTCGCACTGTTGATTTCACAACTATGTATACCAATCTTCCTCATGACCGTATTTGTCATAATGTTTCAAAAGCGGTCGAGGAAGCCTATACATATGCCTTACAACAGCACACACAGGGGCGCACACATCCTCTTACCCTTAGCATGATTGTTAAAGGGCCTCGTCAAGGGGAGTGGACGGTTGATACCGGACCAAACACCTTGACCGTTTCCCAAATTCTTGAACATCTCCATTTCATTGTCACAAACACTTATCTTTATGCAGCATACGACACCTTGCGACATCAGTTGATTGGCATCCCGATGGGGACTAATTCTAGTCCGGAGATAGCTAATTTGACGTTGTATTGGGATGAGGCTCGATTTGTTGATGACCTCCAGCGGCGTGATCTTCGCGCAGCTCAACGGTATGCGTTCACATACTGCTTGATCGATGATGTTCTCTCATGGGGACATCTGCCACCATTGTCAGAGCACTATGGCCTCGAATGGAAGGAGACCACAACGCCTGATGGCTCTTGCACATTCTTGGGTGCACGCCTCCGAGTCCGCCTTGACGACTCCCTGCGTATGAGTGTCTTTGACAAAGCAGTTGAATGAAATTTCCCTGTTATTCGTTATCCTAGTGCTACATCTAACGTCCCTGCACACCAGCTGGCGGGAGTGTTTACAGGCCAGCTTACTAGGTTTGAGTATGTCTGCAACAACTGGTATGATTTCAAAACTGCAGCAGTGATGCTCACACGCCGCATGCTTTTTCGCGGGCACTCTCCAACAACGCTTGCGAAAGGATGGACTTCCTATATTCGTAAACGTCAACACAGGTACCCTGCGCATGTGACCCGCCTCTCCAGCTGGTTTCGCATCATGCTTCGATGGTCTATTCATCACCCGCTTTCTCGGGTATCTACACACTGTCCTCGGACTACGCCTGTCACAGCCCCTTCTTCATTATCGGCGCCTGTCACACCTATCACAACCTCTTCTTCATTACCTGCGTCTGCCGCACCTGCGTCCTCATCAGTCTTAGTAACCCCTTCCATGTCGTTTGTGACCTTGGCTGCCCCTTTTCGGTTCGCAGCCTCTTCCTCATCGGCCTTGGTTGCTTCGACGATTGATTCCGCGGGAGCATCTCGACCCGCAGCTGCTGTGTCGCCTTTGGTCTCGGTGTGTTCCTCCATGGCATCCGTGGCCACCGCAGCCATTGTGTCGCCCTTGGTTTCGGTGTGTTCCTCCATGGCATTCGTGACCACCGCATCTGTTGTGTCGCCCTTGGTCTCGGTGCGTTCCTCCGTGGCATCCGTGGCCATGCCTGCATTACCAGCTGCAGAGTCCCCTCTTCGGGTCTCACCTACGACGACCCGCCCTGTCTCTGCTTCAGCCACTTCACTACCCTTGACTTCATCCCCCCCGTCTTCACCGCTTTTATATCCCCTGGTTTTATCGCCGTCTGTTACCCACCTTCCGACTACTCTACCACCCCTGTCTTCACCAGTCCTACCTCCCCTGGTTTTGTCTCCATCCGTTACCCCTCTTCCTAATCCACAAACCACTTCGTCCACACAGACTCCGTCATCATGTTCTGCCCCTGCAGAAAGCCCRCTTCGYCGTCCTAGAMGCCGACTTCRACCTACTTCCCAACCTCAGCTTACTCCCCTTTCCTCCATCTCTATTCTTGGACGAAGAAGAACCCGTTCATTCTCACCACCACGGCCCTCCCCAACATCCAGTCCCCGTCTTTTSCCGCCCCAAGCATCCTTACCACGCCTGCAACGCTCTTTGACTGCAGACCTTTCTGCAACACGGCAAACACAAAACGGGAGGGATGATGGCGAGGGACCATTTGAGGATGAACTTGGCAAGGGGACTGTAGGAGATTCTGTAGAAAATCCGCCTGACCGGCCTCCACCGGATCTGTGTGGCCTCGCTACTACTAACATCTGCCTACAAGCCTATCGTTGGGAACCATATACTCACTCTGATTTCTTGGCCATTGCTTCCGATCTTGATGCTCAGGAACGTGAGTTATATGGCGATAACCCGACTCTGCATCCCCCACAGGATAGTAATTACACTCGACATGGGGGATTCAATGTCTCTGTTTTGGAGACTGCTTTGATAAGGCGCCGGCTTGATATGCAGCGTGCCCCTTCGGATGGCGACCCAGACCACTGTTCGCACGTTTGTGCCTATATTCTACATACTCCTGGCCACTACACCGCTCTTGTCTGTGCCTCTGGTTCTTGGGAATTATGGAATGGCGGTGCTATGGTGCAAACTATTACTGCCATCTGTGATCTCGTGCGTAATTACCCTAACCTGCAACTGCTCCAGGTCATTGACCCTATGGGTACCTCGTGTACTTCCATGCCCACCTCTACGCCTATCTCTGTACCTACCTCCGTACCTGTCTCTTTGCCTGTTTCTATGTCTGTCTCCTTCCAGATTACTGACCCTATAGGTACCTCGTGTACTTCCGTCCTCGCCTTTGCACCTGTCTCTGTGCCTGCCTCCGCACCTGTCTCCATGCCCGTTTCTGTGTCTGTCTCCATGCCCGTTTCTGTGTCTGTCTCCATGCCCATTTCTATGTCTGTCTCTGTGCCCACCTCCATGTCTGTCACCGCGCCGACTCTAGTCTTCATTCCCCTGCATGCTGCACTAACACCTTGTGACCTCCTTCTTTGTGAGATCACTGACACAGTTACACTTGGTTGTGGAAAGCATTGACTTTGTCGACATCACTACAACCACATAATTTTTCGGGCCCGCTGTCGGCAGGGATGCCACCTGTATCCGGATTGTGAACATCCTCTGCATCCAGATGCAGTATGTCCCATCTGTGCCTACGGGCGCTATAGCGAATGCGCACTTAACTGTGATGGTGAACGCCCCACAATGGTCATGGCCTGCAACCGGCATGCCCTCTGCCGTGCATGCTTCAGAGGTATGGTCGATGCTAGCCGTCCTGGTTCCTGCTGTGACGAAGTTGCTTACCTGAATGGTTTCATCCTATAGATCAGCGGGAGGGCTGCTACCATCGCCCGCATCCTTATGATAGTTGTCCTATCTGTCGTGTTGGTCTTACTTAGACGTACCTTGCACCCTTACAAAAATGTGCAGGTGCGCTGAAAAGAGTGTACAAGAATGTGCAAAGGTGGGAAACCCTTCACTAAAACTGCAAAACAGTGAAGGCTGCAGTAAAAGAAGAACATAAGTTTGTGTCGTTTTACTTTGTTTGTACCCTGCACCCTAGCACCCTCAAAGAAAAAGTCCGAAGGGTGAAAATGAGAATAAAAAGTGAAGAAGGAAGTGCAGGTGCGCTGAAAAATGAACGTGGTAGACTCTTCACCAAAACTGCAAAACTGTGAAAGAAAGAAGAATGCAGTAAAAAAAAAAAGATGTTTGTGTCACCCTTATTTTATTTTTATTTTTTCTCCCTCTGCCTATCGATTTTCCTTTTCTGCTCTTCTATCCCTTGTGTTTGACACCTCTTCCTTCACTTTGCCTCTTTCCCATAGCGTGCAAGTGAGCTGCTATGGCATACGGGGATGGGGGCAGCTCGCGCTCAACTTCATCAACGTGGCGAGCCTTGTACGTTAGAGGCACAGTGGAGGGGGCGTTAAGAAGACTGAGAAACTGAATGATTTCAATGTGTCTTTGTTTCTCATTTTTATCCTTTGATTGAGTGTAAATATTTTTTTCTAAAACACTGAAAGAAATAATAATACTGTGAAACAAAGTGTCATTCTGGTTTGTCTGTCTCTTTGCCTGTCTGTCCTTTCATTTTTCTTTTGTTTGCTCATCTTATTTCTTCTTCTACTTCATGTGCTCATGCTCTTAGTCAATAGTTCTGTGACAATATATATATATATAATGATAATATATATAAATATATATATATATATATAGGGTAACCGGCATTTAAGACAGGGCCGAACGCCCGAACTCGAACACCCGAACTCGAACACCCGAACGTATGGGACCCCTTGGGGATCCGTTCGGCCGTTCGGGCCGAACGCAGACCCAAAAAAAAATAAAAAAATAAAAAAAAATTCATCAAAACAATCTGAAAAAAAGATATGTTATGGATAAAAATAAATTAAACAAGATTTGCTCGAGCATTATGTCCGAATTCCTTACCAAATTTGAAATAAAAATAAAATACACAGAACAAACACTAATAATAAAAATAAATAAAAATAAAAAGAGAATTAAACTACGTGAGTGCACGAGCATGTTTTCTACACGGCCATCTTTGGCGATTTTTTATTTTTTATTTTCATAGGTAAATGCCCTGAAAATTCACAGATGTGTACTTCGCATAATACAAAACTCACTAAAAAAGTTTCAAAAAATCATAAGTGAAAACAAAAAGTAAAAAGTGAAAAAAAATGTGGGCGAGCATGTTTTGACACGGCCATCTTTGGCGATTTTTAATTCTTATTTAGCTAAGTCAAATTACTTAAAAATTTATAGGCGTGTACCTCACGTCACAGAGAACTCATAAGCAACAATTCAGAAAAAAAAAATTGTTTTTAGGCCCCGAACTAATTTTTGGCGGGGGCCGTATGCTGTCGGGTTCGGGCCCCGTACGGGACCACGAACGCCCGAACGTACGGAAGTCCGCCCGGGGGCCTCCGTACGTACAGGCTGGTTACCCTGTATATATATATATATACACAGGGTTGCCGACATTCGGGATAGGATGAACACTCGAGCCCGAACGCCCGAACGTACGGGACCCCTTCGGCCGGCGTTCGGCAGTTCAGGCCGAACGTGGACCTAAAAAAAAATTAAAAAAAAAAAAAAAGGTTTTCAAACAATTCCGAAAAACACATATGTTATGGAGACAAATCAACTAAACAACATTTGCCTGGGCACTACATCCAAATTCTTTACCAAATTTGAATTAAAAATCAAATACAAAAAATAAACACTATGATAAAAATRAGAAAAAATAAAAAGAGAATTACAATGAGTGAGTGTGCCAACACCTTTTCGACACCGCCATCTTTGCCGATTTTTAATTATTTTTTGGCATTGCCAAATGTCCTGAAAAGTTACAGATATGTAGTTTACATTCCAATAGCTCATTAAAAAAATTTCCAAAAATAACAAAACTTTTTAGGCCCCGAAATAAGGTGAAAACAAAAAGTTAAAAGTGAAAAAAAACAAAATAGTGAGTGGGCGAGCACGTTTTGACACCCCCATCTTTGATGATTTTTAATGTTTGTTTAACTTAGCAGAATGGCTTTAAAAACTTATAGGCGTGTAGGTTACATCATAGAGAACTAAAAAACAAAAATCAGAAAACAAAACCATATTTTTAGGCCCCGAAATTGTTTTTGGCGGGGTCCAAACCTGGAGGTGTTCGACCCCTGATTGGGACCCCGAACTTGAACGCCCGAACGTTCAGGGGCCAGCCCAGGGGCCTCCGAACGTTCAGTCAGGTAACCCTTTATATGTATATATATAGTCACAAACAGAACTGCCCGGTAAAAGCATAGGCAGAGAGAGAGAAGAGGACAACAAACGAGGGGCTGTGACAAACTGTTTCGTCGGAGTTTCACCGACTCATCAGGAGGCTATATATATATATATATATATATATATACATATATATATATGTATATAGGTTTTTTCAGAAGTTTTTTTTGTGAGTTCTCTATGACGTGAGATACATGCCTTTAAATTTTCAAGTCATTTGGCTAAGCCAAATAGGAATTAAAAATCGCCAAAGATGGCGGTGTCAAAACGTGCTTGCCCACTTATTTTTTCACGTTTTACTTTTTGTTTTCACTTTAGTTCAGGGTCTAAACATATATATATATATATATGTATATATATAAATATATATATATATATATAAATATATATATATATATATATATTTTAATTGTTTTAGTGGTTTTTGTATTATGTGAAGTACACATCTGTAAATTTTCAGGGCATTTAGCAATGCCCAAAAAAAAAGAAAAATTGCCGAAGATGGCGGTGTCGAAAACATCCTCGTGCACTCACTAAATTTATATATCTTTTTATTTTTATTTACTTTTATTATTCGTATTTGTTTTCCGTATTTTATTTGTATTTCAAATTTGGTAAGGAATTCGGATGTAATGCTCGGACAAATCTTGTTTAATTTATTTTTCTCCATAACATATCTTTTTTTCAGATTTTGTTTGATGACTTTTTTTTTTTTTTTT